CCCTCGTCGAGACCAAAAGCGTTTGAAAGCGGCTATAAAAGCGGATGTTGTTAAATCGCTGACGCAGTTCAATGTGTATCGCTTTTGTAAAGAGACAAACGAAGATGGCAAGCCAAGCTTTGCGAAATTGTGGTGTCCAACCTGTGGAGACTTTGATCGTCACAGGTCCAGCATAATCCAATCCATTGTGACGAAAACAGCGGGCGGGTTGAACTCGAAACTCGGGTAAATCAGCCATAAGTTGAGAACTCGAATGTCGTCGTTGCAAGAAGCAAGTTCTGAAATTAAATACGGTTTTGCGGACAAGGTTTCGAGCTCCTAAAATCCAATATCTTAGTGGTAGACAATGAAACGTGTATTTGACTCCAGCATGTTGCGATGTAGCATGCTTATATTGAACTAATAAAATAGCTACAGGATATTCCTTAGGCAGAATTATGGGATGTTTTGCGTCATAATTAGCCATAGAATTGTCGATGCGACCACCAACTCGTCTAAAAATGGGGTATAGCGGATCAACTTCGAGTTCTTTTTTAATGGCTGTCCGGTGTTTAACTGCTTGAACTCCACTTTGAAGAACTCCTTCTGAACGTGGGTAAATATCCTGTATCGGGCATATTGTAGCTCCCACGAATACGATCAACGAGACGAAAGCAGTAGCTGAGTATCCTCAACAACCGAGACCATGGAGAGGTTTTGGTGATCATACAGGTTAGTGAATTTCCGTCGTCGAAAATGTGTAGATTAACCTTTGGTTCTACCTTTACCTCCAGGCATGCCTCTACTTCTGTCGACAGAACAAACTTAGCCTTAACGGGTGGCCAAGTTGAGCGTGACTGAGATAGCCAAGCTGGTCCATTCCGCCAGATTGGATGGTCCATGAGATCCTTTGGAAGTAGTCATCGGGATGCACAGACTGCAGGGTTATCGCCATTTCGAATATGTTGCCAGCAGCTACGTGGGCACGCCTCTAAATTTTTGCAGTACGGTTGCAAACATATGTGTTCCAGGTCCGGGGAGGAGATGATAGTCAATAAAAGACTATTTCAGAGTCTGACCAACAATTGATTCTGGAAATAGGAATAGTTAGTGATTGCTTGATGAGGAAAATCAAATTAGAGAGTAAATCGGCTGCATTTAGCTCGAGTCGCGGAATGCGTGACAGTTTGAACTCCACTTTCGAAGGTTGAATTGAGTTTTGCTTAGAAGCGAACTTAATTCATATTTGGGTGCAATGAGATCATTAATTTCTCGGATACATAGTCGTTAGTGAGCTGCTTTAGAACTCTAGAACGGCGAAAAACGGTGATGAGGCTAAACCATATGTTACGGTCAGCAGTCGATAGTGATCCAGAGTAGCGTTCTCCTCCTTTCTCCAAGCTATACGTCTATTGTCTGACACCAAAATCTAAACATCTTCTCGATTTCGGCGCAAAATACGTAAAGATGCTGACGGAAGCGGAGACATACTCAAATCCAGTATATATGTTCCACACTTGATTAGCGCCTAAAATCCCGGTGCTCCAAACGTCGGGTCAGCTAACTGTAAGTTGCGAATCTTGTTCCAGAAAGGAGCGCTGGATTTGACCTGCAGAGACCTCCAATAATGTAGTCGTGGTTGTTGAAAGCAAAGTGAAGCTAGCGCGACCTTGGCTAACTCCAGCCGGGTTAGCACCTAAACCAACAACTGAGATCCGAGCATGCGTGGAGTTCCGATCCTTTGGATAAAGGACTCAGCTACCATGGTTATTGTTGATCCAGTATCAAGCAATAACCTACACATAGTCTTTTTGCCACATGTGTCAATTACATTGGCAAGAATAGTTGGCAGAATTGCTTGCTTGTTAGCCCTCTACACAGTATGATATGATATTCATATCAGCAGCATAATCAATCGAAGGAACTATATTTACCTCAGCCGCAGACATATGGGCGGAAGCCAACGGAATTGATCTTGACTCTTCCGGGTGGACTAGCGTGTGATACTTAGCGTTACAATCCCTGTCTTGATGCAATCGACTTAGGCAATTAAAACAAAGCTTAGTATCCCTGGCGAAAGTACGGCGTTCTAGTACATCTAGGGCTTTGAATTCATTTGCATATATATTGTGCTGTCCTTGACAATATATACAGTCGCGAGAAGACTGATTTAATCCACTTGCATGATAAGCGAGTTTATCGGCGTCTACTCTAGGCTGGTCTTGAGGGTTGTATTACGTGTATATCCTGACAAGACTCCAAAGTATCACAATGAGCGAAAAGAAAAGTGAATAGATCATTTATGGTGACATCTTCCTTGGACGACACACTACAGTTAGCAGAAGCTTGTTTGATTTCGGGGTCACAGTTTAGCGCATGTACGCCTCGAATACATTCGTCGGCAGAGCCAATTACCCTACGTAACTCAGCGATATTCAAATTGTTATCGGTTGGCAACGAAAGAAAATTCTAAAATTCCGGTCCATGATCTTGAACACTTATCTCGTGTTAAATAGAATGCGCGCTTTAGGACTTCTCCTCGTATTCAGGTATATCCAATCCATTGTCTTCATATCCCTCCTCCTTGTTAAATGCTACTAAATCATCGGAGAGCTCCATGAAATGGTTGAAAGTGGCTACTAGACGATCCAGCTTTATTTGCAATTTTCCACACTGTCACATCACTGCGAAAACTCCGAAGCACCGTTAAGGGTGCGAGTTAATTGCTCCTTGCAGGCACCACGTTGTTGAATCGTCCGATGCATTATCGCTTTAAGCCTAGTACTCAGATCGACGAAAACTGTACGCCAGTCATGAGAGAGAGCGAGAGGCAAACAGCTGGCGTTCAGTTTTCGTCAACGTTTTTTTTCGTCGATCCGAGGTCTGCGGAAATGAACTTTGGGTGAACCCTAGCGAAAGATTAAAAAATGTAATCTTCTGGCGTGCGCTGCTTACTGAACATTTTTAAAAATGAAGGGAAAAAAATCAAGCAAAAGTCGATTGCAGGAGTTTAACATTAATACTATCTGGGGTGCCTCTTGTCAGAGCAAAATGTTTTTTAGGTCCAGAATGTACGAAAAAACACAATAAAAGTGCAGCTATGAACTTTAAATTAGCAAATAATTATCAGTAAATTAAAAGCTGTTCAACTGTTCAATTTAAATTGTATTGTTTTATAATTTCTTTGTACATTGGCAGACTTGTCTTGCCAAGGTAGTTGATAATATATTTTAAAGACTCTCCCGCAAATACGATATTTGAATTTTAACTGCATGTCAACAAACCCAGCTGATTGACAGTACGACCGTAGCACGCTTAAATCTGATGAACTCTCGAAATTTTGGTCAAACTGGAGAGATTAAAGTTTTTACGCTAGCATACTCGAAAACGGCGGCTAATTTGTCTTTTATTATTCACAAAGAATCTCAAAATCATACGCGGGTATCCGGCTACTCGAACGGACCAAAGTTTGTTATGATTATGAATGAAGTACACTGTAACGCAGATCTACTGCATTTTCGGATATGCGTGTGAGCTTAAAGCTTTTATGTAGAAAACAAAACAATGATGAGCGTTTAACTAGGTGCTATTATATGCAGATATTAAATGACCGATCTATTTCTCAAGAAATACGTTTATTGTTTTTTCTGTTAACTGAATAAATCCACTAATATCTTCTTCTGCACTATGCTGGGTGCTTTGACTAATATGGTTCTCCTCGATTTTCATTCTGGACAATGCATCGGCTGGAAAATTATGTTTGCCCTTGATATATTCGATGTCAAAATTAAACTCAGCTAGTCTAACATTCCACCTCTACAGCTTAGGATTTGTCTCCTTTAAAGTAAAGCCTAGTATCCAGATCGACGAAAACCGTACGCCAGTCATGAGAGAGAGCGAGAGCCAAACATCTGGCGTTCACTTTTCGTCGGGCCTTTTTTTCACGTCGGTCCACAGATCGACGAAAAAAATACCAGAAAATTCCATAGCGTTGTCAGTCTGCGGAAATGAACTTTGGGTGAACCCTAGCGAAAAGATTAAAAAATTTAATCTTTTGGCGTGCGCTTCTCACTGAACATTATAAGAAATGGAGGAAAAAACTCAAAAAACTCACAAAAGTCGATTGCAGGTTTTTACATGTGAGGACAAAATAACATTAATACTATCTTGGGTGCCTCTTGTCAGAGCAAAATGTTTTTAGGTCCAGAATGTTCGAAAAAACACAATAAAAGTGCAGCTATGAACTTTAAATTAGCAAATAATTATCAGTAAATTAAAAAAAAGAACTGTTAAATTTAAATTGTATTGTTTTTTAATTTCTTTGTACAGCGGCAGACTTGTCTTGCCAAGGTATTTGATAATATCTTTTAAAGGCTCTTTCCCGCAAATACGATATTTGAATTTTAACTGCTTGTCAACAAACCCAGCTGATTGACAGTTCGACCGTAGCACGCTTATTTCTGATGAACTCTCGAAATTTTGCTAGGTGGAACAGCTTGAAAAGGGAACATCAGTTGACGGTGAAATATTTTAAGAATGCGGCAAAGTGTAAGTGAAAAATTATTTTTTGTAAAGGATACCGGGCATAAATTAATGGTCAATTTGTTGTTGTATGTGAGTACAATTTTACTGAAATTTATTATATCTGCGAAAAAGTAAATAAGAAAGAAATCAAATTTATTTTTAAAACTACTTAGAATAAATTAAATCACTGGTCGTCAGCACGGTTGACTCCTTGATTAACCTGAAATGTTAAAAAAATATATAAAAAAATTTTAATTGTTGAAGAAAATATTTTAAGACATAGCTTTCCAAAAAGATTTTGATGTCGATTAACAAATTTTTAGCAAAACACAATTATTGTTGAGTGCTGAGATATGTAGTTCAAAAGCTGATATATATTTATATTAGTGCGCAGACTCCTAGTCATGGTCTACATCGAACAAGCCTTCGTGGGCATAAGTTTTCAATTGAACGACAGTCAGAGGAAAAGTCGGAAAAAAGCTTTTCGTTTCGGCACTTCATCGAATCAAACGCGACCGCAAATTCTAGTTAGTCAGTATTGAATTCGATTTTCAAGGAAACAGACGTTCTCAAAATTTCTGTATCTGACGCGTCGTGTTCTCCCAGTTAGCTAAAAACTTATATACATACATACATATGTATATATTTTTATGTGCATTTTGGAAATATAACTTACCATATTGTCATTCCAAAAGATATTAACCGAAATTTAGACACATCCATTGGGCTGCTGAGACGTTGAAAACATTGGTTTTAGTGCTTACGTCTAACGTATACACATCAAGTATAGGTATCCATTTGATGAAATACACTTTTTTATATACATATGTGTATACTAATTTGAACATATATTTATAATGTACGTATCTATAATAGTGTATTATTCTCCTGGTACAATTCTGGGTCAACACATATTCAAAAATATACACAAATGAAAATATTTTCGATTCAAGTATGTTAATTTTCTGTGTATATACGTTGCATATACTTATATTAATAAATTTTTTTTGCACATTAAAAGTGCAGCATGTTAAATTTAAGTCAATAAGTGTATTAACACGGTTCGCAACTAGCTTTAAAGGACATTTATTTAACGTTTGTATGTATCCACTTTTGTACATATGTGTGTATTCACCAATTTACACAGTTTATGCATGTGTGTAAATTCATCTCTATTATATATTGCGGATTTCCTGACGTGTAGAGGATAACAATTCTGTTAATTTATGTGTTTATACCAAATATTATAATACTTAATTTACTTAAATTATTAGTTTTATTCCAATGTCTTAGACAGAAAAAAAAAATTTAAAAAAAAAGGTTTTCAAATTCATGCTGTTAGTTTTGTCATTTACGGTTAAAACCCGTTGATATTATTTTGCGCAGCTGAATTTTTTGCAACAAGTTCTACCTAGTACCCTGGCATATCCTTGTTAAACGGGGAAGGGCGTTTTACCATTAAGCTCAATCAAAAAAAGCTTCAGTATATGAAAAATGAAAAGGATACATACTTATGTACATGCCTTGTACTGCGCCCCAGATACATTCTCTTAGGCAGGATTTTCTCATTTAGTAAGAAACCAACATTAACAAAAAAAAACACCTGTCGCTATATGTGAATTTAAAGAAATTGAATTTTTAATGAAATTTAAAGTGTGGTTGACTCTGGTTTTATTGACTACATAAGTTCTATTTTTTTTACTGATAAATTCTTTATAATTGATTTGCTATTTCTTGTGAAACACATGGAAAAAACAGAAAATATTTTTATGTATTTAGTTATTAAGTTTAATTAAAGTCGAGTACATTTTCAAGGTCACTTAATGCCCTGGGACGTCCCCAGACCAAGGCATTCTCAAAACTAAATCCTTCTTTAAACCACTTTACGATATTTCTAATGGAATATGTGCGCATTTCCATTATTTCACCTATCTCGGCATATGCTTTTCCTTCATTGTGCATGTGAATGATGATTTTCTGTTGAGATATACTCTATCTTTTCCGCTTATTATCCATTTTTGGGAGTATTCAAACAAAAGATCAACAAAAACAAATGGAACTGCCATTTTCTAAAAATTTGCTTGCCTGCATACGATATTCGGAAAGTCCATTAAACATTTCCGTTAAATAGAGTGACCTAATCTGGCTTAACTTAAAAATAGATCATATATAAAATTATGTGTGCCAAGACTTTTGTTGCTTAAAATTAGTAATTTTTCTATTTAGGTTTTAAGCCTAGTACTCAGATCAAAGAACGACTTCGCCATGTAAGTCTGTCCGTCAGTCCGTTTCTACGCAAACTAGTCTCTTAGTTTTAAAGCTATCTGCTTGAAACTTTCCCAAAAGTTGCCATTCTATTGCATGTAGTATATAAGTCTTCCGACAATCGAAAAAAGAAGTTCAAAAAAATTATAACTTTTTTGTATTTAATATTTTTTGTTGTTCTTTGGGATTTGGTAATATTTAAATATTATGGTATTACGGTTTTAATTAAATTAAAATCGGACAACAATATCATATACATATATTTTATGTTAATTTTTTTTTGTTCTTTGGGATTTTGTAATATTTAACTATTATGAAATTACGGTTTTATTTCAATTAATATCGGACAAAAATATCATATAGCTGCCAAAGAAACGATGGCAAAATGCAGCGCAAAATCGACATAGCTTCATTGTTTTTAGTAACACAGGCATTCAAATCGAAATGTAGTCGATATGTAACAACTGCAAGGGTATATAAACTTCGGCTTGCCGATGTTTGATTACTTTCTTGTTATTGATTGGGGCCAAAACACACTTTATTAAAAGTAGTAAAAACAATGCATTATTATAAGCCTAAAATTAATGTACTGCTATCGAATGTTTAACTTGATTATCCTATCCTTATTGGGATATTCGGCCCGCCATTTTGGCCCAATATATCATATAGCTCATATAGAAAGAATCGGAAAAAAATTTAAAAAAAACTTCTAATCGATATAAGCAATCAATAGCTGAGTCGATTGTAAACTAGAGTCAGTGTATTGAGCTCAAAAATCTTGTTCCAAATCATTTTAATTTATCCTTTTTTTTAGATTTTTAGCCTGCGGCAAATTTATTTTGATGGTATAAATCTAACTCAAATGTAACATATTGCTGGTACCACACTGCGTCGAGTGCAAAACAGGGTTTACGTAGGTTTAAGAGTTATGTGGAGTTTTGGCCCATTTTACTTGATTTTTTAGAGAAAAATTTAATAGTTAGAACATTATTGACCTGTTGGTCGGCCACATTATACTACTTGAACCAAAGCACGGCTGTTTTGAACAATCATATATTGATTAACCCCAGAAAAATCAAAACAAACAATAGCTGTTCGTTAGGCCAATATGGGCAGTATAATCAAGATAAACAATTGATAGCTAAGTCGATACGAAACACGAGTGGTACACGAGTTGAAAGTAGAAAAGTTATTAAAGCAATTGTAAACATAACTAAACTTACCCTATATAATTGTTAATAGTAAAGATAACCGCGGTAAATTATAATTATATTATTTATTATTAAATAAATAAATATATTTAGCCGAAATGTGTATCTTTTAGTCCTATGAGTTTGTTTCAGTTTTCTCCAATCCTTAGTCCACTATGCCCCAAACTTTATAAACTCGAAAAACAACCTAAAGCCTAGTACTCAGATCAAACAAGAGAGAACGCTATAGTCGAGTGCCTCGACTATTAAATACCCGTTACTCAGCTAAACAACTTAATATAAATATGCCTTCTTGTATGTTTTTCGCCGCTCGAATTAGCACCTTGGCCAGCTGTTCCAAAGTCATCCGTTAGATGGCGCCATGAAAGGCGGAATTGTAGGCGCTAGCCAGGCTTAAGCGTTTAATGGGTTTTTGGGCGTTAGAGTGGGCGTGGCAAACTTTTATTAGGCCAATCGATAGGTATTGACGAAACAAATACATATCAATTAAAATTTTCATAATAGCATCAAAACTGTGGCCACAGCTTGTGGCTTGTGGGCGTCAGAGGGGGCGTGGCACCATTTTGAAACAAACTTGCGCTGCGTAGGAACTCCTAAAATCTACATGCAAAATGCCAATCTTTTAGCTTTTATAGTTTCCGAGATCTCAGCGTTCATACGGACGGACAGACAGACGGACAGACAGACGGACAGACGGACATGGCTATATCGACTCGGCTAGTGATCCTAAACAAGAATATATATACTTTATAGGGTCGGAAACGCTTCCTTCTACCTGTTACATACTTTTGCACGAATACAATATACCCTTTTACTCTACGATAACGGGTATAAAAATAAGCTTGCCAGCGGAAAAACTTTAATTTTTCCAGTGTGACAGCATTTTTGAGAGTTCATCAGAATTGAGTGTGTAATGGTTGTACTGTCAATCAGCTGGGTTTGTTGACAAATTATTCAAATTCAAAAATACTTATCTCCTGTAAAGGGCCCCTAACTGTTGTTCTGAAGGCAAGGCAAGGTCTGCCGTTGCACAGATAAATGAATAAACAGTACAACTTAAATTTGAAAGTTGTTTTTTTATTTACAGATAATTATTTGGTAATTTAAAGTTCATAGCTGTTTTTTTTCTCTGACAACACACCACAAAATATTCAATTTTTTTAATTTTGCTCATGCAGAGATATATTCAGCACACTGAGTACCGGGGTGAAAAAAGGGCCTGTCGAAAAGTGATTGTACTAGTACTCGGCTTAGGCCTAGTGGTCAGATCGACGAAATCTGTCTTCGTCAGCTATGATCGACGAAAGAGAAATACATGAACATTTCAAAGCGTTTCCAGTCTTCTGTAATTTTGTCAGGCTCTAGCGAAAAGATTAATTTTTGGAAGTGTCTGTTGTCAACGCAGTGTGTTTCTTAGATCAACAAAAAACAAAGAAAATCGGCAGCAAGAACTTAGTGTACTTACTTTATATAAGCAAAAAAATGATCAGTAAATTATAAAAAACACTTTTAAATTTAAATTGAATTGTTTTTAATACCTTTATAGACAGCACATTCGGCTTGCCTACGTACTTAGTAATATCCCTTAAGGAACCTTTTGAATTTTAACAGCACACTCAATTTTGATGGACTTTCGAAAATGTTGTCACATTGAAAAGATTAAAGTTTTTCCGCAGGCAAACTTGTTTTTCGATCTGAGTACTAGGCTTTTAGTGTAAACGGTCCGTAAATAGGAACATGTATTTGTTATGGCGTTAGCTCAGGTTAAAATTGCTCAAAACGCCGCAAAGAGCTAGAGATGGAAATTTGGGTAGACGGTGTGACCAAATCAGATAAAAATATTTAATAACAAAACAACAGTAAATTAATCAAATTCTGTTTTTTTTGCATTTAATCGATTGCGCTTCAATCTAAAATCTAAATCTAAAATCTAAAATGACTGACACCAAAGATGTCTAGGTATATTGCCCGAGTTTCGATTGTTTGCCGTGCTACCGGTTCTACTGTGATGTGTTTTAACGATGTTAACACCTAATCTGTGGTAATCACCGTAGAAGTTAAGAAAAACAAGGATGAGAGTTGCAAATCGCGCATCGATAACGAACGATATAACATTCTGGGATATTACCGAGACCTATAATTGGCATGTTTTTAATTACATAAAACGAGAGCGGGACCAGAGAATGATAGCTTACTTGGCTATTAACATACACAAGGTCCCCAAGTGGGGATATAAGTTTTGGTAGTAATATGTATGTAGAAGTCCACACTATTTTCTATCATGCTTTTAAAACCAAATACCTTTTGCACTTTCTATGTATTCCAGTTTATAAGTTTAATTATCTACTTTGTAGATGTCAATATATTTAAATAAATGAAATAACATTATGGTCGACATGATTGACACTGCACTGAACTGGATATTATAATTATCCACAAACAATGAAAAGTATTTCTAAAATATAAGATTTATTGGTATAATTGCATTCGTTTTAACCTACAAATGTGTATAAATATTCAACAAATTTGTTTGGTTTTTATCTCAAATTAAAGTTAACAATCTTTGTTTGCTTAAAATATTCAGAGACAAAAGTTTAAAGCTTCAGAAAAGGCACTTCTGCAGGATTGTTAAATTTATATAGTCGCAATAGATTTTCTTAAGTGTGCCATCGCGATGGCTGCACCAGCAGCCTGTACGCGTTTTTCGGACAATTACGACATCAAAGAAGAGCTGGGAAAGTAAGTCAATAACAAGCATTCAATTTATGTTGATTATAATTATCGTTTTCTTCAATTTTAGAGGGGCATTTTCAATAGTAAAAAGATGTGTCCAAAAATCAACTGGATTTGAATTCGCTGCAAAAATTATAAATACAAAAAAACTCACCGCAAGAGGTAAGGAGCGACACCCTCGTTATCAATATTATATGTCCACAAGTATTTTGTATAATATAATATGTATAATATATGTATGTATAATGCAGGTGAGGCATCCTGTTCAACATTATATATTGAATGGAGAGTTCTAGTAACAGAACTCGAAACCCGCTTTACATAATTATAGTTAACTTAGTTAATAAGGTTTCTGAGAAACTCGAGGTAAAAACGTTCCATAAAATACAATTAGAAATGTCATTTTCTTAATTAGGAAATCCGAATTTCGTCGATTTAATTTTTTAGATAGATCATTGACATAGGATAGTTTTTAACTTGGTTAGTTGAAATATTTGTACATATCAACAGTATATATTTTTATTTTGGGGCGTGGGACTGACGTGCACTAATATATTCAATTGTGGGTAAATAAGAGTGACGTGATTTAAATCCCTTCAGTGAAACAAGTTCCGATGTATCTGATTCCCACGTTTTGTGTTGTCTTTCTACACAAGAAGTCGAAGGAAAGATTTCAATTGACTATTTCTTAACAATTATAAATCCCGTTTTATTTTTTTGTTGCTCAATGAAAAAAAATAAATTATTAATAAAATCGTAAATGAAAAAAAAAAAATTAAAGTCACAAATTTGATTTAACCGCCGGGCAGGTGGCTAACTTATACAATCCATTTAAACGGATTCTTTTAGTTTAAAGTTTTCAAAAATACATTTTAAAATTTGTAAAAAAATTTACTAACTACATACATTTATCACAATTCTGACCGAGAAACGATCAACATTTTTTTTGGAAAAGCTACAAAATTTTTATAACCTTGCAGAGGGTCGGGCGAGCCGGATCGGGCGACTATATCACATTTAAGTTTTCAATGCTTCATGCTTCAAACACATAGAATAAACATTAAAAAACCCACAGAGAACTTTCTTTTTTCAATTTGGATCATTGAAACTTCCTATCATGGAATCATTGTAACAAAATGATCCGAATACTTTTGATTTATGCAGTGTTCTAAGATAATCCAAAGTCATTTAAAAAGCTTAGAAAGCAGTGTAAATATACAGATTTATTATTAATATTTTAAATTGCATTTAGCATTGCTATTTAAATATTTAGGGAATCACTGCCTAAAAGTAAAAACTATATTACATATTACCTCTTTTTACATTTAGATTTTCAAAAACTGGAACGTGAAGCGAGGATCTGCAGAAAATTACACCATCCTAACATAGGTATGTTATGTGCTTACTAATAATACTTCCTATAATTTTATTCGGAGATTGTAGGCCTTGCCGAAAAGTTATGTGTGATCTACACTGAAATATTTTTTTTTTTCCGATGGCGTTTTAACGTTTAAACTTAAAGACCCAAACCAATGTATTTAATTTTAATGCTACTAATTGGTATGATAATCAAGATTGTGCTAAGTAAAATTGGCATACTTATTAATCTCTTGAGAGTAGGCATTACAATTTTTTTTGCTGCTTGGCTAAATTATGCTGCTATATGACCGCAGATGTTCAATTAAAGATTTCCTTAGATTATTTTTTTTAAACACCACAAATACTCTTCAAATTTTTTAATCTAATTGTCTACGAAAATAATTAGATAATATTGTGCACTTCGCCGTTAACTTGCCGTCCCAAATGCATGTATTACTACCATTTAAATTTTAGAAGTTTAAAATTTTAAAAAGATACCTAAAGGTAAACGCAAAAGGCCTACAATCTATTATAACAAAACAAATTTTAAAAATAATTCACTGTTACATTTGTATTATTTCAGTGCGTTTGCATGACAGTATACAGGAGGAGAACTATCACTACCTTGTTTTTGATCTGTAAGCAATAAATTGCATTAAAATACTTTCCAAATATTCCGGTTGTCTATTCCCAAAAATTAGTAAACATGAATTTCTAACAAACATGTTGCAATGACTTGACTATTGTTTATTGAGATTCATACTTCATCCTTTTCCCTCCGATTGTTCATGCATATGAATGAATAAAAAACAAACTTTTTCAGCGAAATATGAACTCCATAGAATAATAAAAAAAAGTTCCTACCGCTTTTGTTACTTAAATATAACCTTAAATCTAAACTAAGACAACCAATCCACAAAATTTGACTATGCATACATACATTTGCAGTGTAACTGGTGGTGAACTTTTCGAAGATATTGTTGCGCGTGAATTTTATTCAGAGGCTGATGCATCACATTGTATTCAACAAATATTGGAATCGGTCAATCACTGCCACCAAAATGGTGTGGTGCATCGTGATCTGAAACCAGAGAATTTACTATTAGCTAGTAAGGCAAAGGGTGCAGCAGTGAAACTCGCTGACTTTGGTCTAGCCATTGAAGTTCAAGGCGATCATCAGGCTTGGTTTGGATTTGCTGGCACTCCAGGATATTTGTCGCCAGAGGTATTGAAAAAGGAGCCCTATGGCAAATCGGTAGATATATGGGCATGTGGTAAGAAATAACAATGTTTGTAAAAATGGTTTTTACATGCGTGGCAATATTTAGTGGTATTACCAGGTTAAGCAATTAATTTACCTTTTTTCATAGGAGTTATTCTATACATACTTCTCGTTGGTTATCCACCATTCTGGGACGAGGATCAGCACCGATTGTACTCGCAGATTAAAGCAGGAGCTTATGATGTACGAAGTGTAGAACAACTTTTATCGTTTAATTATCCTTTAATGTTATTTTATTTAAGTATCCGTCTCCAGAATGGGATACGGTCACCCCAGAAGCAAAGAATCTTATAAATCAAATGCTTACGGTAAATCCAAATAAGCGAATAACTGCCGCCGAGGCATTAAAGCACCCATGGATTTGTGTAAGTAGAGTCAAAAATATTTTAATTCTATATAAATATAATGCATATTCGAATTTACAGCAAAGAGAGCGTGTGGCTTCCGTTGTCCATCGCCAAGAAACCGTAGACTGTCTCAAGAAGTTTAATGCACGTCGCAAGCTAAAGGGAGCAATTCTTACGACAATGTTGGCTACCAGGAACTTTTCGAGTAAGCAAAAAATATGTTTATCAAAATATAGTATTATTTTTGACGAGTTGTAACGGACTTCTGTTATAACAAGAAAATTCGTTTATAGATGTGTATTAGACACTCTTAAAAAAAAGTGTTAATTAGATATGAGAGAGTGCAAGAGGTAAACAGCTGACAATACATTTTATTAAAAAAATTACTTTTTCAAGCTTTTTTCCAAATTTTAAATAAATGTTATTTCAAAAAATATAAGCTCCCATAGGAACAATCGGAAAAGAGAATTCAAAAAAATTATTTAATTTGGTAATAATTAAATATAATGGAATTACGGTTTTAATTAAATTAAAATCGGACAACAATATCATAGAAACGATGGCAAAATGAAACGCAAAAAAGACATATCTTCATTGTTTTTAGTAATATAGGCATAGAAATCGAAATGTAGTCGATTTGTAATAACTGCAAGGGTATATAAACTTCGGCTTGCCGAAGTTAGCTTTCTTTCTCGTTTTGTACATAGTTTCTTAACAACTAAGAACAATAGGTTTTGACAACCAAATTTTATATGGGAACCTATGGATTTTGGATTGTTGTTTCTTGAAAAAAAAATACATATTCTCTAGCAGCATTATCAGGCGATAAGAGCATTAGAAATCTTGATCTCGGAAACAATACATATTTTATCCATATATACATACGTGCGAAGCCTGCACATATCTTAAATTATAACCTCGACCCACGGAATAAGTTTCCAAGAAAGTTTTCTACCGAGATAATAAAATACCAACCATTAATTCAACGATTATTTCTTAAATATTTACAGGCAGAAGCATGATAACCAAAAAGGGTGACGGATCTCAAGTTAAAGAATCAACTGATTCTTCTAGCACTACGCTTGAAGACGATGACATAAAAGGTAAATATTATAAAAAATAAAAGAAATCACTCTCATTTATAGAAAACTTAACAGTGTCAAGATCTGGTCAAAATTAGTGTGTCAGGGTCACCATTAACCGCTAGAGCTTTGCACTAAGCCTCAGTAGTAGTTAAAATTAAATGATATTCGTACATTTATAGACATACAGTTTTTTACTACAAATTGAACTAAGTTTTAGTTTCCATTCTTTTAATGTAATGTTAAAACTGTGCTGTGTTTAAATTTTGCTTTTTGGGAACGAGGGATTCGGCCTTTATTATAACGCTTAAATGTATAAATGTACAAGACTTTAAATTCAAATAAATCTAATTTAATAGACTTTGTACCGTGGGCCAAATACGAAACTTTAGTGTTCTGTTATCGATAAAGAATTTTGCTTTAGTTCTGCAATCCTTAACCAAATTTTTTATTTTCAAAAACAAAGTCCTGTCTTAATGTCAAATCCATTTTTTTAATAGCATGTTTTTTTTAAGACTCGTTAAACTTTTAATACTTGCATCAATTTATTTTGCTAATATGTTTAAAAATGTTGTTAACTAAGCTATCAATCTACTGAGAATGAAGCTTTAATTACCCTTGCAGGCCGACACTTAAAAATAACTAATTTAATTTCCTTTGGGTTATGGAAAAGCCGGGCTTCAGTAGAAATTGCCAGTTCTTATAAATTAATCATACCCAAACATTTTGACTAGGCTCTGAATAAATTTAATGCTATTACTAGAAGCAAATTGATAAACCTTTGCACGTTATCAATCATTCCATATGATTTTGACAATTTCACAATAAATTAAAGTTAAAATAAATCAAACAAAAATGCACTTTAAATCGAATCGTAAAGCCAATGGCAGATAGACAATAAAACTTATTCCAAATTATACATTTTTTATTATTATACCCTTGCAGAGGGTATTATAATTTTGGTAAAAAGTGTGAAGGAGACATCTCCGACACTATAAAGTATATATATTCTTGATCAGAATCGCGTCCTGAGTTGATATAAGCATGTCCGTCTGTCTGTTTCTACGCGAACTTGTCTCTCAGTTTTTATACCCGTTACTCGTAGAGTAAAAGGGTATATTGTATTCGTGCAAAAGTATGTAACAGCTAGAAGGAAGCGTTTCCGACCCTATAAAGTATATATATTCTTGATCAGGGTCACTAGCCGAGTCGATATAGCCATGTCCGTCTGTCCGTCTGTCTGTCTGTCCGTATGAACGCTGAGATCTCGGAAACTATAAAAGCTAGAAGATTGGCATTTTGCATGCAGATTCTATGAGTTCCTACGCAGCGCAAGTTTGTTTCAAAAAGGTATCACACCCCCTTCAATCGCCCACGATTTTAAAAATTTAAATATTTCGGAAAAGTAAAAATGCAGTTTTATCGTGTTTATCAATACCTATCGAAATGTAGAAGAAATTTTTCAAATCGGACCATTCGTTAAAAAGTTATACGTGATCAAAGTTTCTATCTCCATCTCCCTCGCACTCCCTTTACCTGAGTAACGGGTATCTAATAGTCGGGGCACCCGACTATAGCGTTCTCTCTTGTTAAGATATCGAATTGAAAATTTGCATACACCTTTCTTTCTTTTGCACGCAGTATATAGGTCGGAACGGCCGGGATTGGCCGACTATATCCTATAGCTGTCATATAACTGAACGATCGGAAATGTCATAACTTTGGTGTTTTTAAAGTGAGGAAGTTGGGATTTTCTATGGGTTTTATTTTTGGTCAATCAATCTGATCTACCAAATTTCATAATGATCGGTCGACTGTATCATATAGCTGCCATATAACTGAACGATCGGAAATGCCATTACTTTGGTGTTTGTATTGTAAGGAAGTTGGGATTTTCTATGGGTTTTATTTTTGGCCAATCAATCAAGACTATCAAATTTCATAGGGATCGGCCGACTATATCATAAGCTGCCATATAACTGAACGATTGGAAATGCCATAACTTTGGTGTTTTTAAAGTTAGGAAGTTGGGATTTTTATTGGTTTTATTTTTGGCCAACCAATATAATTTACAGAATATTCTGCAAGGGTATATCAACTACGGCTCCGGCCGAAGTTAGCTTTCCTTTCTTGTTTTTTTATATTTTTGTAAAAAACATGTTATGCATAAATTAGTTTTTTGGATTTTTTATCCAGAGAAAATGATCCAAACACTGCATTTTCAGCCCAAAATTGTAAACTAATATTTTAGGAATTTAAAACATAAAAGAATGTTAAACACAATATTTATTTATAACTAACATAAGTAAATTTTAAATTCTACAAAAAAATGCAATACACTTTGATTATAGGTTTAATTAGCACTTCAGGTAAAAATAACACTTTACAAAATTAATGAAATTTATTTATTCGGAACTTACTTTTGAAGCTTAACACTCACTGAAATCAAACAAAATCAACAGAATAAACTAAACGGACGTCTCTATACAAAAATAACAGGAAGATTAATGTTTATCATTCAAATTTGTATATGTATTATTATGTTATTTATATTTCGATTTAAATAAGTTTCAAGCTTACAACTTTATGAAAATTATTAATATAAACTTTAAAAAAAAAATTGAATTTTTTGGGTACGTGCAATAAGTTTCAAAAGTGCTTCAATTATAACACAATAACAAAATAAAACGCTAAAAAATAGAGATTGGTTAAAAGTTTGTAAAAAAAAATACAAATTGTATAATTTGCGGTATTGGTTTTATTTAACTAAATTTGTGTATATATTTATTTTTACTTTTAATTTTTAAATAAAATATTCAAATTGCAATAAAACAAAAAAATTGTATTGATGTTTTTAAATAAAAATGACCTTTTTTTGTGAAAAAAAGAAATCGGACGTTATTACACAAGACATTATTGCAATTTTTGTATTAAAGTTCTTAATGAAATATAAAATAAATTGTGAATACTCAATTTATATCAATGTTCTTATACATTTAATTTGACCACTCATACTTCAAAAGTATTAAAAAGTAATAGATAAGTTAAATCATTCCAATCACAAGTCACAATCTCGCCAGAATGACTGTAACGGAAATATTGGATATTTAAAATATACAAATTTGACATTTAAAACATTTTATTTTGTTTTTCCTAGAAGATAAAAAAGGAATTGTTGATCGCAGTACCACAGTCATATCAAAAGAGCCAGAAGGTAAATGTTAACATGCATTGTTGGGTTTTTCGTAATACACAAACATTTTTATTGCCTATTTCTATAAGAATCATGAAATATCTATAATGAACATTCTCACCTTCATTTTTCGATTAGACAATTCATATATTTCAATCGCCGAATAGTTACTTAGTATAGGCTACATTGCATTTGTGTATTTATATGTAGTGTTATGTATTTTTGCCTCCGTGGCATTAAAATCAAAATTGAAAACGTTTATTATATGCGTGCGCCTTTGGTTGTTCACAAACAATTATTTACTTTCAAAAGTTTGTTGTCGATTCCCAATAGTCTTATTTTGATCTTTTTTTCAGCTTTGAATCTTCTGCATTTGGATTGAAACTTTAAAGCAACAAAATACAGTTATAATATTTATTTAAGTTTGTTTAAATTTGAAAATTGAATAATTTATTTTTGTATATTATATTAAAATAATTAAATTTGCAGATAGTCAAATCGACAAAATGTCAAGAAATATTATGTTGGTTAATTATCTTAAGAGAAAAGAGACATCTTAAAATATTTTAAATGTTTTCTTTATACCGACAAAGTTAAACAAAAAAAAAATTACCACTCTGTCGGAAAAATCCTAAAATATTACAATTAAATTTTTCAATGCAAAGAAATGCGTTTGTTTTCCTTATACCAACAATGTTTATTTAAAGTTAAAACAAAATTACCACTCTCACTTAAAAATAATAAAATTATTGTGACCAATGCAAAATAGATTTAAATGTATCTAACAAGTAAATATATAAGTTACTTTTAAAGAATATATTCTTGATCAAGACCAATACATGTTTCAATATAAACATGTCTGTCCGTCCGTATGAATGTTGAAATCTCAGGAACTCCTAAAATTTGATTATTGGGATTGAACATTGAGAATCATACAGTGCTTTATAGCACTGAATACTGGTGTCTATCAGTCGGAAAACTCGAATTTAAAAAAGATGAAAGAAAATTTTCCTTTTTTATTAAATTAAAATGGAGAATTATATCCGCTAATTTTATATTCTTTAGATTCAATATCTGTTCGGTTTGGAAAAACAAAATTTTCTCATTTAAGATTCGGATCCAATTTTTTATAGTAAGTAATCAGTATCAAAATAAAAAATTTGTACGGTTATAATTTTTTTAAGTTTAAAAATAAAACTAACAAATTCTTAGATACAACTTGAAATGATCTGATTAACTTCATATCGTTTGTACTTTTGCTCCATAACCGCAACTTTTTATACATTTTTTTTTAAGTCTAGGTATTTTTGCCATAATAAGTATGTAATGAGTGTAAGCGAGATTCACGACTTGTCGTGTCAAGTATTACTATCTCTAGCTGTAAAAAACTAGACAATCAAATTTTTGACTTAAGTAAACGTGCAAGGTCCGTATAAAAAATTGCGTACATATTAAAAAAAAAACCAATATAAAATGTATTTGCATTTAAGTACAAATGGTCCGAAGAAAATAATTTTTTTTAACCAAATACGAGAAAAGTCCTTCCGTTTAGAAACACATTATGTATTTTTATATGATACGTAAGCTAGGACAGTCTTCAGTTAATAATATCAGGGCTAAGAAACAGCCATATAATTGGTAAATGACGAGTTCACTGTCTATTAATTTAAGTGACATTACTCAGGTATCTTCCCATTTAAAGGTGAGTATGTTATTAGTAGTTCTAACTTTTTCTACCATATTTGGGATTTTTTGAAGACGTGTTTAATTGAAATCATAATCATAATCATAAGTCCAGCTATTCTGATAAGTATTTCCAAACTGTTTAATTAATATTTCATGGACGTTCTTTGATGTGTAATCTATGTATGTATCAAATTACATTAGTGGTTTTTACGCCTATGGTTTTTTTCTAAACAAGATTCTGATAACATTTAAAAGTTAGATCTGAAAACAGCTAAATCATTTACAAATTTTACTACGTACAATTCTGATTAAATTAATGTATAAAACACCACAACATTTTCATACGCATTGTAGAGTTAAAAAATGTATGCCATAACATAGGAATTATTTTCATTAGTCCCATTTCAAATAATTTATTCGCTTGCGATGATTTAAAAAAAAAAACACTTTCTATTTGTGTGAAACATTGATTTTTATGCAAATACAAAATATGCGTTTTAGATATAAGGATACTGTGTCCTGCAAAAACTTGCCAGCAAATTACAGGAAACTCGCAGTGCTCGTCAGGTATGTATGTATACCAAAAAAGCGACAAAATTCACATTTAAGGAAGATCTGAGTTTGTGTTTGTTTTTATATAGACAAGTTAAATATGTTATGTGCTGTTTAATAGGAGAAAAATTAAATTTTTAGACCTAAGTTTAATTCAGCAATCACTTGCAAGATCCACGAGTACACACATTAAATATGTATTTGTAAATTTTCAATTGGTAATCTTATGCTTGTATAAACGCATGCCGAACATGTTTTAGCCATATGCAACGACCTTTATTCTTAAGATGACTTTTGCACTATGATATTAGGTATCATTGCCAAAAACACAACAATTTCTTATAATTAAATCAAGTTGACTGTGAAATAACGTCTTTTTATTGCCACTTTATGATTTCTTCCCTTTGCCTTTTCCGTTTAAACTGATTAATTGTAAACAAAGCCATATTCCTATTAAATACTTTTAGAAAGTCAATAAATTTTGTGTACCAATAAAAATATAAACTTGGTGTGGTTCTCACGTCTTTCCTTTTTAGTCAATTTTAATTGAAAGCACATTGAAATATTGTTAATTAAAAAAACGGTGATAAGGTTATTACAATTTTTCGCAACGATAATATGGTATTCAGCTTTTGTATAGCAATTTATAAATATTATATTTATATAATATATTATTATAATATAATAATTAATAAATTCCTTTTTTAAATACAAATTGTTTCAATAGCAAAACCTTGAATACTATAAACCTAAAATGGAACCAAGAATTCCGGTTTCAAAATATGTTGCTTCCTTAAACGAGCGTGTTGTAAATGTTTTGTTACAAACTTGTTCTTTAACATTCTAGACCTTGTAGTCTTTTAAATCTCGTGAAATATATGGTGAGAAGAATTTGTATATTAGGTTGTTTGGTAATGACAACCGGTTTCTTTAGTAATTATTTTTTTGACGATTATTTTAGAATAGTTACCATTGTCACAAGCCTCCTTTAAACTCCATTTCTGCCCATCGAAAAATTTTGCATAGCCAAAAACAGGTGGTAATCGCTTAAGGGGATATCCGGACTATAAGCTCGCGTAGCTTGTGACTAGTCACCAAAGATGTGAGGGGCCTGGCGTTGTCCCGATGGAACACATCGCCCTTACGATTTACCATGGCTGGCCGCTTCTGTTCAAGTGCAATCCTCAATCGCTCCAGTTGTTGACAGAAGAGGTCAGAATTGATGGCCAAACCATAGAGCAGCACTTCATAATAGATATTTCTTCTGATAAATGACCATACACTCAGCCAAACCTTCCTAGCCGTCACTCTTGGGTTTGCACCGTTTGAGACGACTCACCGTCCTTCGACCAGGATCTTTTATGCTTGGTTTTGTCATATGTGATCCATTTTGCATCGCCAGTTGCCAAATACGATTCCATTTAACATCAAAGCGAAGCGCCACATTCGAATGCGAAAACCAGTATGTCATTACCAAACAACGTAATATATCGAGTCGACTGTTCATTAGGATTATGCAGTCATTAATTTAATTTAAGTTTGCAGTCTTTTTAGTAGATCTTTTTTCACTGATGTATGGTCCTATTTAATTCATTCGTCTAAATACTGAGAGTGGCTATCAAACTTGTTGGTACTTATAAACCAATTTCATTTCACCTCACAACGATTCCTTTAAACGAGATCCTGTTAAAAACAGGAAGTGAAGCAAACTTCGGCAAGTCGAAGTTTATATACCCTTGCAGTTAATACATATACCTTTCGATTTCTATGCCTATATTACTAAAAACAAGAGAGCTATTTTGTGCTGCAGTTTGCCATCGTTTCTATGGCATATTGTTGTCCAATTTTGACAAAACTAACAGCGCTTTTCTGATTTAGTAAATAATTACTATATATCAAAGGAATAATTTGATACATAAAAAATAAAAGCAGAATAACATTTTTTTTTCATTTTTATTTTTCGATTTGATGATGTAGATGTCCGATTTTAACTTAATAAAATTTATTTAAATATTACCAAATCCCAAAGAACAAAAAATTAATTAAAAACAACAAAGTTTTTTAATTTTTTTCCGATTGTTCCTATTTGATATAGTCGTTCCGACTTATAAACTACCTGCAATAGAAAGACAACTTTTGGGAAAGCAGATAGCTTTAAAAGTGAGGGACTAGTTTGCGTAAAAACCGACGGACGGACAGACGGACATGGCTAGATCGACTCTCCTGGTGATGCTGATCAAGAATATATATACTTTATAGGGTCGGAAATGTTTCCTTCATTGCGATGCAAACTTTTGACTGAAATTATAATACCCTCTGCAAGGGTATACAAATACTAATGAGTCACTGAAAGGTGCAATTAATTTACTAGCTTCTTCTCACTTCGCACAACAAAATTGCGAAAGTTTTATGTTATTTTATTATTTTGATTCTATCTTACTCTACTCCTTTTAGATACACGAAATATTTTTATCAGGCCAGTTAATATGGGGAAATCGACTATAACCTCTTTACTAGATTTGGTTAAAACCAAGAGTATAGTCTGCTTGTCTTCAGGGACCATAAACCCAAAATATTTATAAAAACATATAATCCTTAAGCTATACAAAATCAAAACAAATAAACGGGATCTCTATATTGTAAACTAAAAAAAGCTGTCTAGTTTAAAACCTTTCAAACTTGCCCCACTTTGTTCATCATTTAATAAATATAGGTCTGCAAGGGTATATCCAGCTTCAGTATCCCTGTTTGTTCCTAAATTTATAAACTTAATTAAAATTACTAGGCATGTTTCAAGGCTTTTAAGTTTTTAATAGAACACATTTAATTGGGGAAAGACTATTATTCTTGGAATGTTATGACATGGGGTTAATTACCCTATTGAGAATTAGCGTGTTATTGAGTTTATAGATTTATGAGGATGACTGACTTCATTTTACCATAGTACATTTAAAACATGAAATAAACTAATTAAAAAGTTTTTACATTTACAAAGCAGCTAGACGACAAGAAATAATAAAGATTACTGAACAGTTGATTGAAGCGATTAACAGTGGCGATTTTGATGGATACACGTAAGTTAAACATGTGCAATTTTGTTCAAATTAAAGGTTACCCACTTTTTTTATAAAAAATAAAACATAATCTCAACTTAATTAGCAAACTCATACTAGTTCTAAAAAAATGCGTTTAATATTTCCTAATTGTTTCTAGTTTTTTGAGACACCGACGGATTTTTTTAGGTCTAACCTTCCTAAATATTTTTTTTTATTCTTATAGTTTATAAAAACATTTTTAACACTTTAGGTTTTGACTAAAAGCATATCATGTAGGCCATTAATTATAAATATATTAATTCGATAAAAGAAAAATATTTAAATCTTTTAAAATAAAATGTTTTAAATTTTTTGAAATTCAAATCATTTTATTCTAAAGCAAAATATGTGATCCGCATTTAACTGCCTTTGAGCCAGAAGCATTGGGCAACCTTGTCGAAGGAATTGATTTCCACAAATTTTACTTTGAAAATGGTAAGCTGTTAAGTATTTGCGAAAGATTTAAAGTTAATTAAGTCTGATTTCAGTTCTTGGTAAAAATTGCAAAGCCATTAACACAACCATTTTAAATCCTCATGTGCACTTATTGGGTGAAGAAGCTGCTTGCATTGCCTACGTCAGACTTACGCAGTACATTGATAAGTAAGTATAGAGTATATTCTTAAAAGTAATGCATATCACATTTTACCGTTAAAATAATTTTTTAATATCCAGACAAGGTCATGCACACACCCATCAGTCGGAGGAGACGCGCGTCTGGCACAAACGCGATAACAAATGGCAGAATGTTCACTTTCATCGTAGTGCATCTGCCAAAATAAGCGGAGCTACTACATTCGATTTTGTATCCCAAAAGTAGTGGGCATTAGACAATGGAAACTGAACTGTCATCATGCACATGGCAATGAAAGTGCTATAGTCATATTTAAAGGGCGCGCTTAGTATTTTGCGAATAAAGTTGTTAGTGCGAATTTATATTTTTTTATTTGTTTTTAATTGATTTGTACCCCCTGTTATACTATGTTAAAATATATAATACAATTAAAAGCATATATAGCATTTCAGATATCCCACAGAAATTAAAAAGGAAAAAACACGAATAAAAAAAAACAAATAATATTGGTACATTAAATATTTGATGTAAATGTCATCGTACCAATTATAAGATTGTAAATTAATGTTTTCAAGGAAAGAAACAAGTTTATAATTTAGGTTTTAATGATATCAATCTTGAAATAAAAATTCAAAACGTTGTATCTTATGGAATAGCAAGAGTATAATTCCAACAACTTTACCTTATCTTCTAAATAATTGCAAACAATTTAAAAGGCATGTATCATGTACTAGGATACAAATAATCATTTGTTTGAGCAGTCAGCTTATTCTTGTTCTTATAATACATCCACACATACATAGCCTACTAAAATGTGTGAATACAGCCGAATTCAAATTACTCAAGTTAGCATTAATAAATGTGAAACTGTAAAGAATTAGGTAACGACAATGTAGCATTTAAAATTTTGAAAAATTAAGTACATTAAAACCAAATGAATAAATTAGCTAATTGAAATATAAAATAAAGCCGAATTAATTGAGATTATGCGATTACTCAATATGCGTTTATGCCGTCTATATACAACTACTTCGCCTTTCTGTCCGTATCTGCTACTCATAAGTATAAATAGGTGTCCCAAGAATACACACCCTTTACTTAAATTGGCATAATATAATAATTATTTTCTATCTTGCCATAATTATTCTTTTCAAAGTTATATTTGCTGGGACTATTGTACAGCATTTGGTAGACGTTATTGTTATTCTTATAATTGTGTTCATTTAAATGGAGGGTCGAAAATATTTTTTATACGAGAAATATTATAGTGTCTATATAACATTTATATTTATAAACGAAAACATAATTTTGTTTAACAAATTCATATTCAAAGGGGATAATAATATATGGTTTTGCGATAATTTTCAAATTCATTGAAGTGGTGGCAAAAATATTCTTGGGATCAATCTAATATATACGTACACATGAAGAGCCTGCAAGATACCGACATAAGTGCAAAACAAAACGCAACATTAAAGTTAAATGCAAATCGTATTGTTGTATTTCCTATATAATTTATATTAATTTTATGAGAATGTTTCAATATTAAAAAAAAATTTTCTTCATCCTTCGGTGAAAGTCCCAAATAATATTATATGACTATTCTTCTAATTTTTCTATTTCCAAAATTTTATATAAATAAAATGTGTAATAGATTAAGACCCTTTACTAAATGGATATTTTTGTGTATAAATATATTGTATGTATGAGACTGTATCATCGTAAAATAATTACACCTTTTTCTGATCATATTTGTATAAAGAATATGAATTTAAAACGATTTTTGAAATTTGGCACACATTTGTTTAAACTTAAAACCCAATAACTATTCTTTAATAAGCGATTGAGAAACTATTTTCCGATTCTATGAACTTGTACGTTAATTGGAACCCACTCCTCTAGCTTTAAATGATAATAGGATAATGCCTTTAGAACGGAATGGAATGTATTTATGTTTCCTTTTAATTGTCTAATACTATTAGTCAATTTAGGAAAGGGACTTATTCACATGGTCATCAAAATGTAAAATGTTGTTTCTAAATTTTCTTTTTTTAAGGACATAATGTCATACTTATAATACGAAATCAATACGAAATCAAACTATTTAAACCATTTGGACATACTAAATCGATCGAAGAGCTGTTGCTCCTAAGGAAAAACTCTTAAGATTAATATCTAATTCATTAACAGAATGTTTCTCAAAAAACATAAAACCAAATAATAAAAGAAATGCAATTTGCCTATACAAATTATTTTCGTTAGTATATGTCCTTTATATTTTAAGCATATTTAAAGCATAATGCAAAGTCCATAACACAATTTAATAATTCAAAATATTAAATAAATTATTCCATATATATGATTTATTAAATACAAATAAATACTTAATAAAATGATTTATGATTTATTAAATACAAATAAATACTTAATAAAAATGATATAAACGTATGCATTATCCGACTGCGCCTTTAAATTAATCAGGACCATTTTTCTATATATATATATATATATATTACACTTATTCCCGTTTTCGACAATTAAAGTTTCCATTCAATAAATCAGATTCAACATTTACTTCACAGGAGATACGAGTATTTTTATATAATATTATATTTTAGCAAGTATATAAAAAGGGTATTGTGACAAGCAGATAAGGGAAGATAAGTCGAACTTAGCTTTGTCATTAAACCCGTTACTCGTAGAGTAAAAGGGTATATTGTATTCGTGCAAAAGTATGTAACAGGTAGAAGGAAGCGTTTCCGACCCTATAAAGTATATATATTCTTGTTCAGGATCACTAGCCGAGTCGATCTAGCCATGTCCGTCTGTCTGTCTGTCCGTATGAACGCTGAGATCTCGGAAACTATAAAAGCTAAAAGATTGGCATTTTGCATGTAGATTTTAGGAGTTCCTACGCAGCGCAAGTTTGTTTCAAAATGGTGCCACGCCCCCTCTGACGCCCACAAGCCACAAGCTGTGGCCACAGTTTTGATGCTATTATGAAAATTTTAATTGATATGTATTTGTTTCGTCAATACCTATCGATTGGCCTAATAAAAGTTTGCCACGCCCACTCTAACGCCCAAAAACCCATTAAACGCTTAAGGGGTTACATCCACTTAGGATTTTGAAAAAATCGATTTTTTTTATTGCATTTTCGTAAAGTATATTTATTTAAGAGTACCCTGAAAAAATTTCAGGGTGATCCGATGAATATTTCCCAAGTTATATTAAAATTTACATGCATGTGTCGGAGCGACTGAAAGCGGACCGTCGAAATTGAATGCGTTTTTCTCAAAACTATGATTTTAAAGTCGGTGAGCAAGATTTCTCGAAAACGGCTGAACCGATCGGTCTCAGATTTTAACACAAGCTTCTTAATAATATTGTTTAGTGATTAATCGAAGGTTTTTTTTTACAATAAATATTTTTCATTTTATAAACAATTGATGTCGTGAATTTTTGTCAAAAATTGATACATTCGCTTTCTGAAGGCGCCATTTTGTTAAAAATTATTTTTTTGTCTATTCCTTCGATTAATCACAAGATAATGTATTATATTAACGAAAAAATCATTGATTTTTAATTTTAGATAATCCAGTTGAGAAATAACGTGCTCACCGCTAGCTGTCTCGATTCGAAGGAGCTCCAGAAAATATTTTATACAAGGTGTAAAAAAAATAATTTTTATAAATAAACTATGCAAAAATAAAGTTAAAAGTACTCTTTATATGTGCATTAATTTGTGAACTAAAATACTCCATAGTTTTACCAGAAAAAATTCCTAAAATATCGACTTTTTTCGGCTGTCTAACTGGATGTAACCCCTTAAGCCTGGCTAGCGCCTCCATTCCCGGCTTTCATGGCCCGTGGTACCAATGTCTTGGGGTAGATGGCGCAATACAATAGCGGCGAAAAACATAAGTTGTTTAGCTGAGTAACGGGTATCTAATAGTCGAGGCACTCGACTATAGCGTTCTCTCTTGTTTTCATTAAGGTTAAGCCTCATTGAAAAGAAAGCGCCTAAAAAGGATGTTTGACAAGACATATCTGCCGCTGTACAAAGAAACTAAAATTTAACAGTTGTTTTTTTTTTAATTACTGTTAATTATTTGGTAATTTAGAAATCATAGCTGCCCAAGTTCTTTCAGGAAATTTTTTAGGAATTTTATTGTTGTTTTTTCGTTCATTGTTGACCAAGGAAACACTTTGCTCTGACAAGAGAGACCCCAAAAGGCTACTTTTTTTAATATTTTCGTTTTTATACCCTTGCAGAGGGTATTATAATTTTGGTCGGACGTTTCCGACCCCATATTCTTGATCAGGATCAATAGGGGAGTCGATATAGCCATGTCCGTCTGTCTGTCCGTCTGTCCAACCGTCTATCCATCCGTCTGTCCGTCTGTTTCAATACCATTTGCGAGCTCAGTTTAAAAGCTAGCGATCTGAAACTTTCAGAGTCGTTCTAAAACATGTGTACGCAGATCAAGTTTGAAAACCGATCGGACGTCTACATCCTATAGCTCCCACACAAACAATCGGATAAACCTTGTAAGAATTTAAGATATTTCGCGCAGTGTAAAAGCTATTGACATGTATATTTCCAAATCTTATTTTTTTATGCATACCCTGATCAGGGGGAAAGAGCGTGCCGATTGGACGTCTATATGTTGTAGCTCCCATAGGAATATGAGGGTAAAATCTGTTAAAATTTGATGTTTTTCGGGATATTTCGCGCAGTATATAAGCTATTGACATGAATCTTTCCAAACCTTATTTTTTTATGCATACCTTGATCAGGAAGAAAGGGCGTACCGATCCGTCATCTATATCCTATAGCTCCCATAGGAATAATATGGTGAAATCGGTCCAAATTTTATGTTTTTCAGTATATTTCGCGCAGTGTATAAGCTATTGACATTTATTCTTAAAAGTCTTATTTATTTACTCATACCTTGATTAGGGAGTTCGCTTCCAACTGAACATTTTAAAAAATGGAGGGAAAAAATAAAAAACCCGCAAAATTCGATTGCAGGAGTTTACATGAGAGGACAAAATAACATTAATAAGATCTGTGGAGTCCCGCCCAGAATTGTGGGGTTTTCAAATAAAAAACATTTTAATGCAACCTTTATAAAAAGAGCGTAGGAGGAAATAGCCTGGGAAATGGATATAGACAGTGAATTATAATTTTACATTATTAAATATAACGTGGACGTATACAATATTTACGTTTAGATAAGATTAAAGTTTTTTAGCTAGCGAACACGTTTTTCGATCTGAGTAATAGGCTTTACTGATAGTTATTTGCTAATTTAAAGTTCGCAGCTGCACTTAGTTCTAACAGGCGATTTTTCTAATTTTTTTATTGTTTTTTTTCGTACAGTTTTGACCTAATATATAATAAAATAGTATACGCTTCCTAAAAATATAGCTTCCTATTTGTTTAGATGAATTTTTAATGTTTTGTTGCGGATAAATAAAAGCGTTTTCTTAAGGTTTAAATAGGTTTTATTGAGTTCTTCTCGTGTATTAAAATCAAACTTGATGTTACAAAGTTGATTACAATTCAATGCAAAATTAAATTGATTATTAGCGGATAATACGACTTTGAAGATTTTGCCGGTACCATTACTTAGGCAGCTTCCTTTGCTAGACGGTCAGCTTTCTCTACCACTTCTTCAATTGGGCCGACCATGTAGAAAGCAACTTCGGGAAGATGGTCATACTCTCCAGATAGAATTTGTGAGAAGCCCTTAATAGTTTGTTCGAGCGGAACGAGTTTACCAGCATGCCCAGTGAAGACTTCAGCAACTTGGAATGGCTGCGACAAGAAACGCTGAATCTTGCGAGCGCGTGCAACTGTAAGCTTATCTTCCTCGGACAACTCATCCATACCCAGAATGGCAATAATATCCTGAAGAGATTTGTAGTCCTGCAGAATTTTTTGCACGCCACGAGCAACGTTGTAATGCTCTTGTCCAATGATGTTAGGGTCCATAATTCGAGAAGTGGAATCCAGGGGATCCACAGCAGGGTAAATTCCCAATTCGGCAATCGCGCGCGACAGCACAGTGGTGGCGTCCAAGTGAGCGAAAGTTGTGGCTGGAGCGGGATCTGTCAAATCATCAGCGGGCACATAAATAGCCTGGACAGAAGTGATCGACCCCTTTTTGGTTGTGGTAATACGCTCCTGCATAGAGCCCATGTCAGTGGCCAAAGTTGGTTGGTAGCCGACGGCAGAGGGAATGCGACCCAACAAAGCGGACACCTCGGAGCCAGCTTGAGTAAACCGGAAAATGTTGTCAATGAAAAGCAAGACATCCTGTCCTTCTTGATCACGGAAGTACTCGGCAACAGTCAGTCCAGTCAGGGCAACGCGGGCACGGGCGCCAGGGGGCTCATTCATCTGGCCGTAAACCAGAGCCACCTTCGACGTTTTGTCCTTAAGGGAAATCACACCACCTTCAATCATCTCATTGTACAAATCGTTGCCTTCACGGGTGCGCTCGCCCACTCCAGCGAAAACAGAGTATCCACCATGAGCCTTAGCCACATTGTTAATAAGCTCCATGATCAACACAGTTTTACCGACGCCCGCACCGCCAAACAATCCAATTTTACCGCCTTTGGCATAGGGAGCCAGGAGATCAACGACTTTGATTCCTGTAACAAGAATCTCTTGCTCCACGGACATCTCAACGAATTCAGGAGCCTCAGCATGAATAGCAGCCGTCTTGTCGGTATCGATTGGTCCACGCTCATCGATGGGTTCGCCTATTAGAAGATGTTAAACTCATATTAATGTCACAAACTCAATCACGTACCAATAACATTAATAATGCGCCCCAATGTTTCGGCACCGACTGGAATACGGATTGGGTACCCAGTGTCGAGAACCTTCTGTCCGCGAACCAAGCCCTCAGTACCGTCCATAGCAATGGTACGCACGGTGTTTTCTCCCAAGTGCTGGGCCACTTCCAGCACAAGCCGAGGAGACCGGTTGTCGACTTCCAGAGCGTTCAGGATCGGGGGCAAGTTATCTTCGAACTGCACGTCAACGACAGCACCAATTACGGCCACAATTTTTCCGTTGGCAGCGGCCGCTGCCTTGGCAGCCTTGGCGGCATGGCCACGAGCTGAAACCGAATATTCCAATATTATTAATAAATTCAATAATTTAATCATATTTTCTAACAACCGGAGAAAAGAAATAGTTCTTCATAGGACCACAATCACTGCCAAAACGCCGAACACAAAATCTTATAGATACACAAATTGTACTTTGCGAACTATTACGTGACAAGTTATAAAATATATAAACATTTTCCAAACCACAATAATGTCTATAAAAAATAGAATTACAAATTTCTTTTATTTATTTAAGTGTCTTGTGCTTTTAAGGGCACAATGCTAAAAATTTTTCTAGGTTGTGAAAACTCATCTCATACGTAACAGAAAAAGTTACTTCTTTTTATTCTGAAAATCCCTTAAATTAATTACCATTTTGTTAAACTGTGAGTATCTAAAATAGTTATAGTTTTGGGGTAACCTTAAATCAATTATAATTGTAGTTATGTAATAATTTTTCTTCACTCGTAACATCTTTTCTTATATTTAGGTTATGTTCGACATCGGCTCAGTTAATTTAAGTCTATACGCGGATCGTCTTGAACTGTTCATTAAATCCAACTTTGCATTGTCTCGACCAAATTTTATTTATTTATTTATGCTACTTACACAATTGCCCCAAAAATGGCAGCAAATTCTTATCGGCTTTGGAGGCAGCACGTAAAGCGAACATTTTTCTCGGACTAACTTGGGTGAGAGAGTGTGTGTACTGAGTATAAGAATACCAGTGGGACCACGGCTGAACGGTTGAAATATACCATTCCAGTGTGGAAAATACTAAATATACTTTTCAGCTTTTAAGCATAGTACTCAGATCGACAAACGAGTATGCTAGCGTAAAAACTTTAATCTTTCCAGTGTGACCAAAACTTCGAGAGTTCATCGGATTTAAAGCCTAGTATCCTGATCGACAAACGAGTATGCTAGCGTAAAAACTTTAATCGTTCCAGTATGACCAAAATTTCGAGAGTTCATCGAATTTAAGCGTGCCACGGTCGTACTGTCAATCAGCTGGGTTTGTTGACAAACAGTTAAAATTCAAATATCGTATTTGGGGAAAGAGCCTTTAAATTATATTATCAAATACCTTGGCAAGACAAGTCTGCCGCTGTACAAAGAAATTTAAAAAACAATACAATTTAAATTTAACAGTTTTTTTTTTAATTTACTGATAATTATTTGCTAATTTAAAGTTCATAGCTGCACTTTTATTGTCTTTTTTCGTACATTCTGGACCAATCGACTGGAGCAATCGACTTTTGTGAGTTTTTTGAGTTTTTCCCTCCATTTCTTATAATGTTCAGTGAGAAGCGCACGCCAAAAGATTAAAGCCTAGTATCCAGATCGACGAAAACTGTACGCCAGTCATGAGAGAGAGCGAGAGGCAAACAGCTGGCGTTCACTTTTCGTCGGGCCTTTTTTTCACGTCGGTCTCCTGATCGACGAAAAAAATACCAGAAAATTCCATAGCGTTGCCAGTCTGCGGAAACGTGAACCCTAGCGAAAAGATTAAAAAATTTAATCTTTTGGCGTGCGCTTCTCACTGAACATTATAAGAAATGGAGGAAAAAACTCAAAAAACTCACAAAAGTCGATTGCAGGTGTTTACATGTGAGGACAAAATAACATTAATACTATCTGGGGTGCCTCTTGTCAGAGCAAAATGTTTTTTAGGTCCAGAATGTACGAAAAAAGACAATAAAAGTGCAGCTATGAACTTTAAATTAGCAAATAATTATCAGTAAATTAAAAAAAAGAACTGTTAAATTTAAATTGTATTGTTTTTTAACTTTTTTGTACAGCGGCAGACTTGTTTTGCCAAGGTAGTTGATAATATCTTTTAAAGGCTCTTTCCCGCAAATACGGTATTTGAATTATAACTGCTTGTCAACAAACCCAGCTGATTGACAGTACGACCGTAGCACGCTTAAATCTGATAAACTCTCAAACTTTTGGTCACACTGGAAAGATTAAAGTTTTTACGCTAGCGTAATCGTTTGTCGATCTGGATACTAGGCTTAAATTTTTTAATCTTTTCGCTAGGGTTCACCCAAAGTTTATTTCCGCAGACGTGGCAACGCTATGGAATTTTCCGGTATTTTTTTCGTCGATCAGGAGACCGACGTGAAAAAAAGGCCCGACGAAAAGTGAAAGCCAGCTGTTTGCCTCTCGCTCTCTCTCATGACTGGCGTACGGTTTTCGTCGATCAGGATACTAGGCTTAAGCGTGCTACGGTCGTACTGTCAACCAGCTGGGTTTGTTGACAAGCAATTCAAATTCAAATATCGTATTTGCGGGAAAGAGCTCTTAAAAGATATTATCAAATACCTTGGCAAGACAAGTCTGCCGCTGTACAAAAAAGTTAAAAAACAATACAATTTAAATTTAACAGGTCTTTTTTTAATTTTATGATAATTATTTGCTAATTTAAAGTTCATAGCTGCACTTTTATTGTCGTTTTTCGTACATTCTGGACCTAAAAAACATTTTTCTCTGACAAAAGGCACCCCAGATGGTATTAATGTTATTTTGTCTTCACATGTAAACACCTGCAATCGACTTTTGTGAGTTTTTTGAGTTTTTCTCTCCATTTCTTATAATGTTCAGTGAGAAGCGCACGCCAAAAGATTAAATTTTTTAATCTTTTCGCTAGGGTTCACCCAAAGCTCATTTCCGCAGACTGGCAACGCTATGGAATTTTCTGGTATTTCTTTCGTCGATCAGGGGACCGACGTGAAAAAAAGGCCCGACGAAAAGTGAACGCCAGCTGTTTGCCTCTCGCTCTCTCTCATGACTGGCGTACGGTTTTCGTCAATCTGGATACTAGGCTTTAAGCATAGTACTCAGATCGACAAACGAGTACGCAAGCGTAAAAACTTTAATCTTTCCAGTGTGACCAACATTTCGAGAGTTCATCAGACTTAAGCGTGCTACGGTCGTATTGTCAATGAGCTGGGTTTGTTGACAAGCAGTTAAAATTCAAATATCGTATTTGCGGGAAAGAGCTCTTAAAAGATATTATCAACTACTTTGGCAAGACAAGTCTGCCGCTGTACAAAGAAATTAAAAAACAATACAATTTAAATTTAAAATTTTGTTTTTTTTAATTTACTAATAATTTACAATTTAAATTTAACAGTTGTTTTTTGAATTTACTGATAATTATTTGCTAATTTAAAGTTCATAGCTGCACTTTTACACAATTTTTTCCTACATTTTTGACCTGAGAAACATTTTGTTTTAACAAGAGGAACCCCAGATAGTATTAATCTTATTTTGTCCTCACATGTAAACTCCTGCAATCGACTATTGCGGGTTTTTTATTTTTTCTCTCCTTTTTTTAAAATGCTCTGTGAGAAGTGCACGCCAAAAGACTGGCAACGCTATGCAATTTTCTGGTATTTTTTTCGTCGATCTGAGGACCGAGGTGAAAAAAAACGTTGACGAAAAGTGAACGTTAGCTGTTTGCCTTTCGCTCTCTCTCTGAGAACTAGGCTTTAAAACTTATTTAGGGTTTTCCCCAAGCGATGAAATTGCTAAATCGTTGAACTTCGGTCAGCTGTTTGCAAGCTGTTCCGTACTACCCTCTTCCCATAGAATTAATCTGTTCGAAACGGTTAAAAAATGTGAAACTCCGATGAGCACATAGCACATCCACCATCCACAATCCGATAACAGCTGATCTGAACAGCTGTGGCTAATCATTCTAGCCTGTTGCACTTTGCACAACATTTAAAATGAACACAACAGTGCTAAAAATTATACTTTGTAACAGACTGCAAGTGATATCCGCGAGTAACCAAATCGGCCTAATATGTCTGCCAGCCTGCAGAAAAAATGGGAACAGGTATTGCCCAATATTATCTAAGCGGTAGCAAATCAAGTTCATTAAATATAAATACGTTTGTTTTTGGTTTTATTATAATTTCATATTTCATTTTATTTTTAATGTCAAATTTGGATGGGGAACTAACTGAGAATTTTCGGAACGGCAAAACCTTATGGACCATCCGTTGAACGGATATTTACTAATTTAAATATTAAAACCATAGTTGCTAGTATAGAACACGAATCGTTAACTATTAAATCAAATATGGAGATACAATTTTAATTGTTAAAGGAATTATAGACTTATTTAACAAAGAAACCGTGTTTTTCGTTTCTGCTGGATTTTCTCTCAGGATACACTAATCGCAAAAGTAAATGTTGCCTATGCTTTTACCATGCGCACACTTAACGAAATTTTTTTTTTGTAACTATCGTTTTTGTTATTTTGTGGTATATTACATTGGTCAAGTTTAGGGTCAAGCCCCATTTTTTTTCAGGCGTAGCATAGGAAACTAGGGCATAAGTGCAGAAAAGCGAATTTAATACGTCTTTCAGCCGATTTTGCGGGAATTTTATTTGGGACATTTTTGCCTTTTCGGTCGCCACACTCTCATAAGGCAAACACCTTTTCTTCTGGCCCTTTTTCCATACTCATTTCGAAGATCTGCACCGGCAGAGCCGTCTTGCCAAGGTGTATATATCCTTAAAAAGCTCTTTCTTGCAAATATATTTTTTTTAATTTCTACTATTTGTCAACAAATCCAGCAGACTGATACTACAACTGTAGCACATTGAATTCTGATGAACTGTCAAATATGCGGTCACACAGGAAAGATTGAACTTTTTCTGCTGGCGAACACGTTTTCGATCTGAGTTTTAATATTATATGACAACTCCTAGGTGCAATGTTAACAATCAATACACAATACTAGCCAGATTTCGGTATCTAAAATTATCAGCAACGAAGGTGTCAGACGGAGCAAACGAAAATGTTCGCGGTCTGGAACGGTGAATCCAACAGAAAGAGATCTATGGATCACTAGAGAAACTTATCGACGACTTTCGACGCTGGTGAATTGAGCACAGCATGGACACCGGATGGATTCACCCGCTCTTGTAAATTCTTAAAGATTTTAGATCCTCGCTGCGATGGACTGGATTTGAGTAATGGGGAGCTTGCACCTGGTAAACAACCCAGTAGAGTCTCACAATCGATTATTGCGGTTGAAGGTAGTTTCACATACAAATGTAAACAATGAAAAAGAGATCATCACTTCCTTCACCATATACATACAAGGAAGAAAAATAGGTCGTGCGAAACATAGGCGCTAATCAGAACAAGGCGGTCGCAACAAGTCATTAGGCGCTACCACACAAGAAGAAGGAGCTAAGCGAATCGTAATACCTACCTTAATGGCTTATGTTTTTAACGCTTAGGGAAAGAATGTAACATGACGACTCTTATTGGACACAGGCTCTGAACTCTCGTTTGTATCCGAATGCCGCATCTAAACTTTAGGTGTGACACGATCCGCATATCACATCTTGGTTAAGGGAATATTTTTAGTAAGAGCACCTCCATATAAAATCCAGTATTTCGGATAATAATTTAGTTGTCATCGCTCACGTTTTAAGCCTAGTATCCAGATCGACAAACGATTACGCTAGCGTAAAAACTTTAATCTTTCCAGTGTGACCAAAAGTTTGAGAGTTCATCAGATTTAAGCGTGCTACGGTCGTACTGTCAATCAGCTGGGTTTGTTGACAAGCAGTTAAAATTCAAATATCGTATTTGCGGGAAAGAGCCTTTAAATGATATTATCAAATACCTTGGCAAGACAAGTTTGCCGCTGTAAAAAAATATTAAAAAACAATACAATTAAAATTTAACAGTTGTTTTTTTTAATTTA